CATATCGGCACACCCCTCACACGTTTCGCGGCCCCTTATGGAGGTCCACCGAGGGCCCAACCATATGAGGGTGCGAGTGCCGCAAGGCAGGTGGAACGAGAGAGGGGCAGGTCCCCATTGGGGCCACGATGCGTCTGAGGAGTGTGCCGAATCGGGCGCTGCCACAGGGGCCTTCGGTAAAGCTCAGTTGTTGCGACGAAACGTGTGAGGGGTGCAGGGGCTTGCCGAAAATGGGTGCGGGGCCGCCATGCGGACCCTGCCGCTGGAGCCTTCGGTGGAGGTCCGTACTGGGCCACGAAACGTGTGAGGGGTGTGCTGACATGGGTGCGGGGCCGCCATGCGAACGCTGCCACTAGAGCCTTCGGTGGCGCTCCCTCTGGGGCCATGGAACGTGTGAGGGGCGCACCCACATGGGTGCGGGGCAACCATGCGAACGCTGCCACTGAGAGCTTCGGTGGAGCTCCCAATGGGGCCACGAAAGGTGGTCTGCGCGCCGAAACAAAACCCGCTATGTGAAAACAACCACTTGGGCGTTCCGTGGAGACCTCTCATCAGCAACGGAACGTGTGAGGGGTGTGCCGAACCGGGCGCGGGGCCGCCATTCGAACGCTGTCACTGAGGCTTTTGGTACTGCTCTCTGTGGACCACGAATCTAGCGATGGATGTGCCGAATCGAGCGCGGGGCCACCATGCGAACGCAGCCACTAGGGCATTCGGTGGAGTTCCCTATGGGGCCACGAGCGTGCGAAGGGTGTAACGAATCGGGCGCGGGGGTGCCATGCGAACGCTGCCACGAGGGCCTCCGGTGGAGCTCCCAAATCGGGCCAGCAAACATGTGAGATGTGCGGCGAAACAGGTGCGGGGCCGCCATGCGAACGCTGCCACTGGGGCCTTCGGTGGTTTCCCTATGGGGCCACGAAGCTTGTGAAGATGTGCCGAATCGGGATCGGGGTGCGTTCGGTGGAGTTCCCATTAGGGCCACGAAGCGCGTGAAGAGTGTGCCGATATGGACACGCGGAAGGCTGAGGCAGGGATGGGAGTAGTGAATGAGGAAGACGCGGGGCGCTGTGTTTTCAAAGCGAGAAAAAACCACAGGATGGTTGGGAACAAATTCCGTCGCGACTTCTTCAGGACGCGAATTAAGGGTCTGGGAATCCTGAGCCTCTCCAGGCTTTGGTCAAGACTTCGAGACGAGCCCTGCCGTGGCGATGCAGGACGGGCTCAGGGAGGGAAGCGTCGACTTGGAATCGGCAATGCGTTGCCGAAAGATCGGCGGTAAGCAACCGATCCTGGGCGGGGGGGGGGTGCAAATTGTTAGGCCCCTACCGGCGATGACTGGGCGATTGCTGGTGGTCGATGCGCTCCCCCCATGGGCCAATCCCCCCTTTACGTTGCACTTGACAATTCCGTTCCCCTGCTTTCGTGCCATAGCGCGGGCTTCCAACGGCTGTTCGGGGCGGTCCTGGCAGCCCCGAAGCGTTTCTGGCGACGCGCAGCTGATGAAACCAGCCCGGGTCTCGAAAACAGTCGAATGATTTCCAACACGTTTCGGCAACCGCCCCCGATCCGAACAATTGGGGTCGGAGATTGCGCCGCATCGCCGATGCATCGGCGACGCTGGCACGCAGAACACCTGATGCAACATCGGGCAGCAACGCCGAATGCATCGGCGATGCGGCGTGATCCTTCGACCCCAGGGAGGCCCAGATCATGGGCCTCTGAATATCGCTTAACCGATCCCCATCCCCAGCGGCGTGGCCTGGGCCCCACTGGCCGACTTGCCGACTTACCCCCCTAGATGGGGATATAGGTCGTCCCCTTCGAGCATCGAGGGGTGTATCCCCGACTGGGGTGGTAATTCGGCGGGGGCCTCGAAAAGGGTGTGGATGGGGATGGGGATTGGCCAAACGATGCCGGGCCTCGGCCCCAGTGCCAGGGTTTTGGACGCCCAAAATGGGTACCGACAAAATGGGTACACTGCCCAACAGCAAATGTTGTCCCAAACCAACAGCGGCCGCTGTTGGGCAGGCGGCCCTCCGTCTCAAATGGACACAGGCCGCGGCGGCGTGGACAGCGAACCCTGCTCAACATGAACAGGAACTGCTGTTGGGCATTGTACCCATTCCTTCCGTACTCCAGATTTCGTAATAAAGGGAGGGGGGTATCATTTCGGGGGGGGTCTCTTCCAGGCTATCTTCGAGGGCCTGGGGGGTCTGGGGACGATGTTTTGGAGGGTTCTCCCACGGGGGAGGTCTGAAATGGCTTGTCTTGGAGGGTCCAGACCCCCCCCCCTTTATAACGAAATCTGGAGTACCCATTTCGGGCGTCCAGAAGGGTTGCCGCGGCCCCGCACCAGCGGCGCGCAGGCGCAGGCGGCGGCGGCGGCGGCCAGCGCCCCGAGGACCAGCCCGCGGGCCCGGGCGCGCCCGCGGGCCCGCGCGGGCTTCGGGGCAGGCATCGCGGGAGCGCCCCGCGGGGGCGCGGGCGGGGCGCGGGCAGCCTGCGGCCCCCGCGCGGGGCGCTGGAGGCCGAGCGGGAGGCCGAGCCCGTCGGCTGCCGCGGCCGCCCTCCTGGCCATCGCTCGGACGTCCATTCCCTTTTTTCTTTCGGTTTCGTGCATGGTTTTTTCGCCAGATGATCAAGGATGCTCCTCGGTGGTCCCCGCCAAAGGGAAAATGCACACGTCCGAGCGATGCCAAGCCTCGGTGGTCGCCCGCGGCGCGAAGGCGCCTCATGGGAGCGCACCGTCGAACGAGCGAGCGAACTCCCGACCTGCGCCTGGAACCCACTCGCTACAAGCGGGCATTTGCCTCGCGGGTGTTTTTTCGCTCGCGGGGCTTCGCCTATGCACTGGATTGAAAGCCACTCGACGCGGAGATCCCCAAATGTGTCTATCACGACGAGAGCGTCATTGATGGCCTACGAAAAAAAAAAAACACCACTGACGTGCAGGGTGTCGCCAGACGATTCGCAGGGACTTGGGAACTGGGAAAAACTGCCCAGAATGGCGTAAAGAAGGCGACGAAGAGGAATACGTGGAACGGGCATGGATGAAAAAAGGCGGAATCACGAACAGGACTGAATAAGACGAAGCCAAGATCGGGGCAAAATTTGACCGGGATAAAAATCATGTTCGGTTTTTCAAATCACCGGGGGCGCCGCCGAACGGGCCTGCCACGCCTTGGGCGCCATCGGCGTCGCGAGGAAAGAAATGCGCCCTGGCGCGGATGAAGCCACGGCGCGCATTTGGCCACGCGCGCGCCCGAGGGAATTCAGCGCCAAGCGCCTTTCACTCCAGAAGACCCGACGTCGACAAAACAAACTTGAGGCCCCAAGGGGGCCCCAAGGAGGCGGACCGTCATAACAATCACGCAACCAACGCAACGAAAAAAAACACGAAAATATCAAAATGCGCGTTGCTCAGTGACCTCTTCGGCCACGCAACACCGCGATAATGCCCAAGAAGGCATTGGAAAAAAGTCCCGCGCGCGGCCAGGCGACTTCCCCGCGCCGCCCCAAGGTTCCCGAAGCGCGCCGAAATAACCGTAGAGAACACCCCAGAAAGTCTTTGGAAAGTCCCCGCGCCACGCAAGATCCGCCACCGAACAATCTCGCGGACACCTAGCGCGTACGCGCGGGCGTTCGCCATGGATGTCCAACTCCGGTATCCGAGACAATCGCGCGCAACCGCCTGGGGGCCTCGGCAACCTCGCGATTGGCCCAGGGGCCCGCGGGCCCCAGGGAATCGAGGAGCGAGTTCGCAACTCCGGAAGCATCGGGCGCGGCGCCAGCCAGTCGCTCGTCTCTGGCTGACAGTAGGACGCCTGGAGACCCGGTAATACCGAAGGCACCGCTTTTCAGAGATTCGCAGAACCAGAAACCGGGGCGCGCCAAATTCTCGCGTCCGAACTTCTCTGGGAATCTCTGAAAATCTCTGAATCAGCCACCCGGCATGAAACATTCCCATAAACCCAAAACCTCGGAGCTGGCCGAAAATCTCTGACAGTTTTTCGGCCCGCGAAATTTGGCGCGCCCGGATTTCTGGTTCCGAGATTCTCTGAAATCGCGCTGCGGCGGCGCCCAGCAGGTCCTCGCGCGCCCAGGGTGGGGGCCGTGGACATCGCGGGCCGCGATGGTCCCGACCGCGAGGTCCTTCCTCCTGCCCCTCGACGAGTCCACGCTCATGGACACGCTCTCTGCGCTGAGCGTGGACCGCGCCATCCGCCGGTACTTCTGCGCGACGACAGCCAACTGGCCGCCGACGGACAAGGCGATTTTTCTCCGAGCTGCGCGTGCCACCGAAAACGTACAATAGCCCCGGGCTCGGGGAGAAACACTTTCGAAGCATTTTCAAGCCGCCAACGCCGTGGCTGCCGACCCGCCGCGCGCCGACCGAGAGACTAGCTGGGTCCACTACGTCCACGGCGGCGGGCGGGCGGGCGCCCAAGAGAGCTGTCGCCACAGTGCGCGCGGCGGGGCGCCCGCCCAATTGCAACCGCAAATGCGGCCTCCATGGCGCCACAGGCGTAATATGTGTGACGCATTGTCGGCCCCCCATCAACGCATCGGCCAGCGCCCAAGTCCCTGAAACGCAAACCTACTGTGCCCCCCGTGCAAGCCGTGCACCCGCTCGCAATGCTCGTGCACACCAGATTTTCTGCCCGCCCTCAACAGTTCAATTGAGCGCCCATGTGTTACTTGAGCTCCTCAAGCCCTCGAACACTCTTTGGGAACTTCTGCGACTGCGCGCGCTACGCTCCACAAGTCGGCGTTCTATTTTTCTCTGGAACTTCCCCAGAATCTCTGGTTCCGATTTGTCCCGATCTCCCGCTCAACTGACTGAAAGCCGTGGCAGGGTATTCCTGTCTGGGGTCCAAGGCGGCACGGCGTGAACTGCAAGCTACCACGCGCCTGGCATGGGGGTGCCGCGCGCAATGGCAGCCGGCCCAGCCGACGGTGGACCAGCCAGCCGCCCGCACTTGGCGCCGGGCTGGCGCGACAAGCGGTGGAGAACAATGCCGCCCGCCCTTGGGCATCGGGCCGACAGGTCGGGCGGCCGCCCGCACTTGGCGTTCGGGCCCTGCGTGGCTGGGTGCTCGGGGGGGCACGAACGAAGCAGACAATCCGCATCTTGGCCTCGGGTCGGCCGCTCACGCGGAGCAGACACCGGACTGCTAGGGGGCCACATGCGAATCCTACCCCTAACCCCCACGATTTCGAAGGGCGAGGGTGGGGTTCACTTCGCTCGGGAGCTCCCGAACGAAGTGAACCCCACCCTCCCCCTCAGAAATCGTGGGGGGTAGGGGTAGGGTTCGCATGCGGCCCCCCAACTGCTCTACTGAACCGGTTCAGGGCCGCCCGCGCTGGGCATCGGCACCAGCCCAGGATGGCGTGGGCCGCTGCTCTTCTTCTGGCAGGCTTGCTCCAGACTCCTCGGCAAGCAGGACGGCTCTCGCACCGTCAGCCTGTCGGACTTCTCGAAGCGGCCGAAGCCCAACATCACCGTTTCCGGCGGACTCCAGCAACTCGCGAAGAGGCGCCCGCCCCAGCAGCGTGCCCGCATTCGGGGTGTCGCGTGAGAGCGTCACACACAGGTTCAGCCACCATGCGCCGTCCTCGCTAAGGTGTCCGTGGCGCTCCTGGCGCGCGAAGCCGACAGTCACCGCCCGAGACATCCACGCAGTCTGGGCGCGAAGAATGACAGGAACACACCCCTAGCGGCTCCCCAGTGAGTTGCCATGTTGCCACGCCTTCAAACCGTCCGAACCGTCTCCACAATCTGGACGTGAATAGCCGAGTGAACATACCCCTGGTGGCTCCCCTCTGGGCTGCCCAATTCCCATGTTTTCGGCATCGCGGAGAGCATTTGACAACAAAAAGAAGTTTGGGAGGCCGAAGCAAGCAAACTACATTTTTTGGTTGCAAAGACATGCAAGCACCCCTGGGGGCTCCCCTTTGGGGCACCCAAGTGCCACGCCTGCTCTATCATGGTGAACACTGGGGTGGGGGCAGAAATGAGCAAACCGCCTGAGACATCCCCGCATTCGGGCGCGAGCAATGAAATTCAAACACCCTTTGCGGTTCCCCTTTGGGTGGCCCAAGTGCTACGCCACCTATATCGCGGTGAGCACTGAACCGCCAGACGCCGAGAAAAGCCTGGGGGGACGAAACGAGCAAACGGCTTGAGACATCCAACACATCTGGGAGCGAGGAATGAAGTTCAATCATCCTGGCGACGTTGGACAGCGGGAAGAGCCTGAGGAGCCCGAACAAGCACAGGGCTCGAAACATGCCCACAACTTGGACGCGAAAGGTGAAATGAAAAGATCCCGAACGGCTCCAACCTGGTGTGCCCATATGCTACGCCTGGAACATCGCGGTGGGCATGGGAACCCCGAAATGGAAGTCTGGGTGGCCGACGCGGGAAAAAAAACCGCTTGACAAGTCTTCACAATCTGGGCGCGAATGCTGACATGCGTGAAGGGGCCCCAGGACACACAAATAAATACACACAAATAAACATGTTCCCCATATTTCCCATATTTTCTGGGTTTGCGTCTTCCCCCCCACTTCCCATAATTTCCCATACTTTCTGGGGGGGGACCGACGATTCATTGTGCCTCTGTGTTTTTCCCCTCCTGAATGCAACAATCCGTGGTGGTTCCCTCTTGGGCTGCCCAATTCCCATGTTTTCGGCATCGCGGAGAGCATTTGACAACAAAAAGAAGTCTGGGAGGCCGAAGCAAGCAAACTACATATTTTGGTCGCAAAAACATGCAAGCACCCCTGGAGGCTCCCCTTTGGGGCACCCAAGTGCCACGCCTGCTCTATCATGGTGAACACTGGGGTGGGGGCAGAAATGAGCAAACCGCCTGAGACATCCCCGCATTCGGGCGCGAGCAATGAAATTCAAACACCCTTTGCGGTTCCCCTTTGGGTGGCCCAAGTGCTACGCCACCTATATCGCGGTGAGCACTGAACCGCCAGACGCCGAGAAAAGCCTGGGGGGACGAAACGAGCAAACGGCTTGAGACATCCAACACATCTGGGAGCGAGGAATGAAGTTCAATCATCCTGGCGACGTTGGACAGCGGGAAGAGCCTGAGGAGCCCGAACAAGCACAGGGCTCGAAACATGCCCACAACTTGGACGCGAAAGGTGAAATGAAAAGATCCCGAACGGCTCCAACCTGGTGTGCCCATATGCTACGCCTGGAACATCGCGGTGGGCATGGGAACCCCGAAATGGAAGTCTGGGTGGCCGACGCGGGAAAAAAAACCGCTTGACAAGTCTTCACAATCTGGGCGCGAATGCTGACATGCGTGAAGGGGCCCCAGGACACACAAATAAATACACACAAATAAACATGTTCCCCATATTTCCCGTATTTTCTGGGTTTGCGTCTTCCCCCCCACTTCCCATAATTTCCCATACTTTCTGGGGGGGGACCGACGATTCATTGTGCCTCTGTGTTTTTCCCCTCCTGAATGCAACAATCCG